ATTCAAAGTCTTTTATCCCCTGCAACCACAAACAACACAAGCCAATATACATCTAGTAGATAAAAGCTGCAACATCACCCCAGAAGGTGTTTGCGAAATAGATGTGTTTTCAAATCGGTTTGGAAAGACTCATGTGTCTGGCTGTTTTTGAGAGCGAAGTGAAGGGCGTTCCACTTTTTTTCGGCCATCAAATGTGATAATGCGCCTTGTGTAAGTCTCAAGGCGAACACGCAGTATCGAGAGTTTGCCACTATTGGATGAGCGGAGCTGTCTAGTGGGTACATAAAACGTCATGAGTGCTTTGAGATAGGACGGTGCCAGGTCATGTAAGCTGTGGTTGCACATAGTTGCAGTTTTGTACTCTATGCGAGCACGGACAGGCAGCCACTGTAGCTGTTTCAGAAGTTTTTTAGCATGGTCGAATTTGAATTTGCGAAGAACAATGCGAGCCACATTATTCTGTGCTTTATAAATTCTATCAAGGAGCGTACCTGGAAGACCGACCATGAGAGCATTGCAGTAGTCCATGATTTGTTAGCACGAATGCAGACATCAGCCTATTTTTGCCTCAATCGTTTAGAAATGTCTGTTATGACTAATTGTGCACAGCTATAGAAAAATTGCCGTGCAAACCATGTTAATGTGATTTTCATAGTCAGTGTTTTGTCTAAGTAGACACCCAGTCTTCGCAATGTTTGAGCAAACTCAAGGTGCTCACCTAAGAGAGCAAGTAATGGTGTGTTATTTACAGATTTTAACTTTTGATTTTATCCAGGATACCCCGCTCTATAGTTCTGCTGAGCCAGTCTAGGAGCAGACAAGCAGACACTTAAGGATTAGCTTTGTTGAATATGTTATAGTTTTCTTCTAGCTCGATTTTAAAAGCTTCTAAAAGTGTACATTTTTTTGCTCGGACGTGATAAAGTAAAGGTTTAATATGTTATCAACTCAGTTGTAACAGTTCTTGTTAGTTATTAAAAGGCTACCATATTGTTAATCATTACTTTATCCAAAAAGGACTTTGGACTGCCACATTACTTCTTTCCAGTCAGACCATCCATCCTTCTGTCTCTAGAGTCCATTTGGCGCTTTCACCTGGTTCACTACTACTTTTCACTCAGGCTTAACTAATGCTTTTCTTCTACATGCTTGGATTCCAAGCCGCTGCAGATCCTTTTCCATATCATCCATCAATTTGAGCCTTTGAACTTTTTTCTACGGGGATTTCGGTGGTGCACCCTCTTCACGTGGCTGTCATTTGTCATTGTGTCCAAGCGTTTCGGCCAGGGTAGTCTGCCAAGCGTTAGTTTATGTTTATGTAAACTGTTTTTAAATTATTTTCAGATTGCTTCCAGGGCAAATGGGGCGTGGACTGTCTGAACCAATGCAGTATTCATTGTGCAATTAAAACATGTGACAGAATCGATGGGACTTGTGACCTGGGATGTGAGGATGGATACAAGGGTGATACTTGTGATGATGGTAAGTGATTTGCACATAGGACAAATTTCAAATAGTAACTACATATTTAATCTCACAGTTGTGGATCCTGATATATGTTTTTATAGTGTTCCTCATTCCGTTTCTTCTTTTCATCATCATCCAATTTCTCTTTTAAATAAAGTTTTATGCTTAGCTCTCTCACACACATTAAGCACACACGTACACACAAAGTTCTGCTATCAATAATTAGCTCTCAAAATATTTTCTTTAGTTATTTAATTACAGAATTTTTCGCAAGTTTTGTTTTATATAGTTATAATTGTCATATGGTCTATCTGAAAATATTTTCATAGGTGGGTAGTGATGACACAAACTATGTACTCCCCAGAATGTTCTAGTTTTACATGGGGCAGAAATTGCTCAAACAATTGTAGTCCACAATGTTTAAATAAGTCGTGCAACATCACCAACGGCGTCTGCCTGTCTGGATGTACAGATGGGTACACGGTAGACACGTGTACTGAAGGTAAGGTCTTTAAACATTTATGTTTTTTTGGTGTCGTGTTAAATCTTTAACAATTGTTGATAATATTGCTGGGAAAAAAAATCCAAATTTATGTATTGCTAACATTTGATATGAAAACTTGGTCACGTTGTTATAAGAATTTTTAAAAAAAGTATCGTCGAAAGTGATATAAAAAAACTTTGTTAATGTTGGTCAAAACGTTTAATAGATTATTAGCATTTCAAAAGTAAGTCTAAAATGCTAAACAAACAAATTGTACTAAGTTATATTATGTAACTCAACCCCGTAGCATCGCCTGATTACAAAGCGCGTATTTATTATATCTGACTAAAAAAAATATGTAACTGATATACTTTAATTCATACAAAGTGTTGTTCCCTCAAAACTAGCTTTTTTTTTTAAAGGTCAAAACAATTTATTTTAAGTAAGTACATGTTTGTTCATGAACTTATACCAAAACTTATTTTACAGTTATGATGTTAGAGTGCATAGGAATTAGAAGATATAGTAAAGCTTTTAAACATTATTCTACATTTATTCTTAAAAATATTATTCAACTAGAATGTCCCACATTGACCTGGGGCTTTAAATGCTCCCACAACTGCAGCAGTCACTGTGTGAATAAGACATGTGATAAAAGTGATGGCACCTGTGATAATGGATGTGAAGCTGGATACAACGGAAACGCTTGTAATCAAAGTGAGTAGTAAAGCAAAGGTAAAGTATCTAATACTATTTTACATTTTAAATACGTTTTAGGCTTATCAACAGCTTGAAACACATTTTTAAGAGTATTTTAACACTAACAAAACTCAAGAAAGGCAACAATGCTTGAAGAAAGTATTTGAAATATTATTTCACAAGATACAGACGGGTATATGTCTTTAGTTCTAACTATCTGTATTTCTTGTAAGTTTAAAAGCGTGGAATTGGGAGTAACAGTTGCCCTTTCGGTGTTGAAATATTGTAGGGAATAAAGGACAAATAAGGAAATGGTAAGGGAATACACCAAATTACTATTAAGGACATGATACGGTAAATATAGGACATTTAAAGCCAAGAACGCCTTAGGGGTATATAAGAAATCTATAGCCACTGATATGGAGGGAAGGGAATGGTTGACCTTGAGTGCAGTTCGAGGGACAAAACATTCAAATAGACTTAAACCTTTGGGATCAACGACAATAATTAAAACAAAAACCCCAGTCCGCAGCCACAACACCAGCCTAATATTAATAGTTACACATATGGTCGTTAAAATATCCGCCTAAGTATTTCAGTTTTTTTTTCTATATATCTTTACAAAGTTAGCTATACGCCATTATTCTTCGACCCAGCATAAGCAAATGCAATCCATTTATTGAATATTTGGCTACTCAAATTAAAGTCACAATAAATGGATTGCATTTGCTTATGCTGGGTCGAAGAATAATGGCGTATTGCTAACTTTGTAAAGATATAAAGAAAAAAAACTGAAATACTTAGGCGGATATTTTAACGACCATATGTGTAAATATTAATATTAGGCTGGTGTTGTGGCTGTGGTCTGGGGTTTTTGTTTTAATTATAAGACGAATATTCCCATTGGTAAAATGAAAAAGCGTTTTATTCAAAAATAATAATTTGGTTGTTCGGCGATCTCAGAAAGAGCTGACTTGCGCCATCGTATCAGCTGCAATAATATATGCAATTAATAGTTCATACAAAGTGTTTCTTTGAGACGATTTCCGAGTTTCGGGGGGGGGGGGGGGCTTCAGTAAAGTCCAAAACGCGTGGGGGTGGGGGGTGAGGGCATGCCAGAGACCAGATGCGTAGCTGAGGGAGAGAAGAGGGGACTGATGTCCCCGGGTGGATTTCAGAGTTGACGGAGGGAGGGGGGGGTCAAATGAATCTTGTCCCATGGCACCAAACTCTCTAGTTACACCTCTGCCAGGGACGTAGAAAGGGAAGGAATGGGGTGGCGTGCCCTGGTGCTAACTTTTAATAATTTAGAGGGGCGGAATTTTTGGATAACGGCAGAGTGTGTATCGTGAAAGTGAGTGCATAAGTAGGGTCTGTAGAAAGTTTTGATTATTTTAAAATCAAGAGGTGCATTTTCCAGTACATCTGATTAGATTGTTTTCTAGTGACCGGGGAGATGGAATTTTTTTAACATTTCGGCGGAGGCATTAAGGCGCCCAGTGCCGTACATAAAATTAATCCCCCCCCCCCCCCCCCCCCCAACCAAGTTATGGTGTGCCCAAGATGAACTGTTTGGCAAAAGTCATGACATTTTCGAGAAATATAATTTGAAAACATGAAACATTGCTCATGTTTGATACTTGGCGAGAGGTGTATTAAAATGAAAGACCTTAAAATTGAAGCAAACGTAGTTTGTTACAATGTTTTTTTTAAGTCTTTAAACTTGTGAATTTCAAACACATAATTAAATTTTTAAAAATTAATGATAAATGCGAAGTACAGGAAGTAATACTTTAACTCATAATTGGACGCGGCAAAGTCTCGAAATATTGCGATATGTATACTAATAATAATGTAAGTATTGTAAGCTAATAACAAGATTACCTTTAAATATATGGAATATAAAATGTACCGAATGTAGCGATATTTTATAGATTACATTAATCGTAATCTGTTAATTATACCAGTTAAAATTATTTTTAGAACTGTTTAAAAAATGTTTATTTGGTAGTTCTTTTTATTAAAATAAGTTTCCGATTAATTATTGTAAACTATTTTTGCTCCGGGGGTGGGGCACTTAACTTAACTTTCCCACGGCTAGTGCTCCCCGGAGATATGCCTGAAAGAAACCCTGCTCATACATAGATGGATAAGATTCAGTAGTGGGGTGGCTGACCGAACCAGGTGACACCAACCCAAGTTATGCCACCTATAATATGTAATTTACTTCAAAATTCAACCCATTTTTTAAACTTTAATTAATCAGAAAACACTTTAAAACATTTTTTTTTTATTAGCATGTCCAACACTGACATGGGGTAGCCAGTGTCTAAAGCGCTGCAGTGACCACTGTCTCAACAAAACTTGTAATTTTGTGAATGGGATCTGTGACCATGGATGTGTCGGTGATTACAATAACACACAATGTCTAGAGGGTGAGGAATTGAAATATTTGTATTTCTGTTTGTTCAAACTTCTTACCTATGTGTATCAGTTCATGATATATCATTTAATAAGAAATAAAGTAAAAAAATCATCTGTTTGACTTTATAAACTAAATAGAAGTTTTGCCATGTCAGTTATATGAAGCTAATGCATTTATTAAAATGATATAGTCTATTATTTGCTCTAAATATATCATATTTAAGCAATACATAAGAGTGTCATTAACATTAAAAATGAGAATTGTAGGAATTTTTAAGACTACGATTATACTTAGAACAAATGATTAGACTCTATAAATTGTAAAAATAAAATCATGCGTTAGCTTTATCTATCTATCTATATATATATATATATATATATATATATATATACCTGACATGGTAAAACTTCATTTTTTTATATATCCAAAAAATTAGAAGAGCTTTGCCATGTCAGGTATTTGAAGCTAATGCATTTATTAAAAAGATACAGTCTAATCTTTGTTCCAAATTAATCATAGTTAAGCACTACATAAAATTCTCCTTTACTATAAAAAATATTTAGTTTTGAACAAAATTGTTTAGTGTTATTAACAAAAATTATATGATTAGAGTTTTCAAGAAATGTCTGATGTATTTAAATTACTATCAATCTAAGCGTGCTTGCAACTTTAAAGTGCTAGTTGTACAATTCGGTGGCAGGGCACATGCGGCCAGAGGAAACATTTTATGCGGCCTGCAAAAGTTCCGTTAACAAGGAATAATTATTGTTTATCATTTCACATACAAGCCTTTAAAAGTAATGATAACAATTTAAAATTGTCAAACTATAGAAATGCTAACCAGAGTATGATATTATTGATGACACAGTATATTTGTTGGGCTACATTGTAATCATAATAAGCGTAGAATTTATAGATTTAGGCAAAAGGCGTGCATAGATATGACTTAAAATGGATAGACTTTAAATTTGAAATCTACGAATCTGGATGAAAAATAATCGTCTGTGTGATAGAATGTGCGTCAGTTAGGCTAGACGGTGTGAGGAGCAGAGGATTGACCGTCATGTGTGATTCTAGGTACAGACCTTAATTATTTACATGCTTCGATAAATTACTGAGACATGTATCTTTTCTTTGTATGTCTTTTTTTAAGAAAGTGGTTATGTCGAGTCGCCATCTTCTGCTGCTGCCATCGTGGCACCGATTGTTGTAGCCATCGTGCTAATCGTGGTGGCAATAGTTGGTGTTATTTTATGGAGGTAAGTTAAACTCTATTTTTTTTTTGTATCTGCTGACTTTGCTGAAAATGTATGTTAGCTATTATTTTAAATTATGAAAGTATTACCAAAAAACGTCAAGCTAGGCAACTTTATCACATAAATGGTATTCCAAACAATACAACACTATAACTTCACTTTGTAAACACTATGTTAATTTATAGCACAGCTTATGATTTAGAGGGGAAAAAAACATTACGCCAACGAGGACAGGCAACGTTTAATGTCAATTGTTCCTGAAATGGATTTATATTAAAACTATTTTTTTTTATAACGTTCCACTTGCTAGACGAAATAGGAATGGTAAAAAGAAAGTCACAGAAGAACTGGTACCAAAAGGAATGATGTCTATCAGGCAAAACAAATTAAACACTCCTGAGGAGAACAATGTATCGAATCAAAAAGGCAAGTCACCTAAACATAATTTGACCAATTTTGTAGTGGCAAAAATCAATGTTTTATATAAATGGTCAACAAAGTGTATTTTTGCCTGGGGCTGACGGGCATTAGTTTCTCTTTTTTTCAAATGTAACATTTTTTTAAAATGAAATATGCCATGGAGTGAGTTAACCAATTATAGATGTCATATTTGGTTGTATTCACTATGGGGTATAGTGATAACACATACGTTATATGATTCAGATCACCACAGCAGCAATATTGTGTCAACACTTATGACATCAAACCTAGAAAACACTTACTCCAACACAGTTCTACCCATGGTCAAAGACACATTTATAGCTGTCAATGACTTGAATGAATTTATGCGTCTACATAACAGTGACTATTTTACGCAGCAGTTTAAGGTTTGTTATTTTCCTTCTTTTATTCTAATCATTAAGTATAAAACAATGTTTAATTTATTTTAGTGCTTCACGTGAGCAGGTTACGGTATTGCCGATCGACAAAGATTACAAAACCCATTTGATGCTACATACACTAAGCAGTATGGGCAGGACTTTATGACAATCCCAATAGGTATATTATGGGGCTGTCTCTAAAGTACGTCACACTATTTTTTACTATCCCCCCCCCCATGTCACAATCTGTCACAAATCTTTGACCCCCAACCCCCAAAACAAACCAACACAAAAAACTATCTTGACCTTTCAAATAAACGGATTCAAAAATACAAACCTGAAGGAAAAGCTTCACATTTCACTATTAAACGATTCAATTTATAAAGTAACATCTTCTGATATTATAAGTTATTTACACAAAAAAAGTTTAAAGTGAATGTCAATTTCAGAATTTGCATTAATGAAAAATTTTGGTTTTAAAACATTTTTGACGTCACATTCAAATGATATTTAGCACCCCCTCTCTCCCCCCCCCCCTTTCTTCTTGTTTCCGCCACAAACTGTCACAGTTGCTTAAAATCACTACACTTCACCGTGTAGTCGAAATTTCATAATTTTCATTAATGAAAAATTTTGGTTTTAAACCCTTTTTGACGCCACATTCAAATTATTTTTAGCCTCCCCCCCCTCCCCCCCCCCCTTTCTTCTTGTTTCCGCCACAAACTGTCACAGTTGCTTAAAATCACTACACTTCACCGTGTAGTCGCGTACTTTATGGACGGCCACGGGTAAAGATTGAACAATCTTCCGTTATCGTCTACGCCTAGTTTATGATTGAAACAATCAATTTAAACATTTTGGATTTCTAGATATGGACATCAACATTTTATGTGTAAAGGGAATGAATGTATAATCAAAGCCTATAACATCATTTTGGGGCTCATATTCCACTGGTCTAAATGATTTTAATTTTCTTCTTCAATTTTATCAACAATGACCAATGATATCCGACTAGCATTATGCACATTGATGCAATGATCTTCAACTAGGTATCACAAAAGGTCTTTATGGGCCAAAGTATTATTTTAATGCACACTGTAAAAAAGGTTCTTAAGCTGAACAAACAGTTGTGAATTTTATCAAATTAATAGGCTTCTTCTTTACAAATACCTTGCTGAAGAATTGTCGAGTTAATAATTGTAATTTATTATACAGTGTATGTACTTGAAAATAAAACAATGTCAAAATGTTAACAGCATAAATATATATTATTACATTCTATCTTCTAAAAAAATATATTTTTAACAAATTAAATGTTTAGAATTATTCTTTTTAAAATTTTATATACACCAAAATTACTGAAATTTAAAAAAAATAACTTTGCACCTGTGTATGCATTTCAACGCATCTGTTTCAGAATATCCCAACCCCGATGAACGTCACCATGGAAATAGGACTAAACAATGAAAACAAACATAAAAACAGATACAAGAACATCTGTACATGTGAGTCTGTTTAAACAAGCTTCTGTTTTCTGAGACAATGAACTCAAAACAGTCATAGGCCTCATTTACGCTTCCAGTACTGAGACAACCCCCTGAGCTTCATTCCATCAAAATCTTTCAGATGTTTCGTTAATTTAACTTTTGTTTGATTTACGTCCCCGTTAAGTTTATAAAAATTGTCAGTTTCCGTCCCCACTCTTCCAAAAAATGTTTCCGATTGTTTTCCATACACACTAATAATTTGGGAAAGTTTACATTTTTTTCAGACGACCATTCAAGAGTCCACCTCATGATAAACACAGCAAAACATGAAGGAGATTATATAAATGCTTCATACATTGAGGTAAATTAAAGGCTAGATTGCATTTTGTGTCCCACAGATTCACTTTAGCTAATACTTGCATTTTAAAATAATTTAACACGCACCATGATGTCTAAGTGAAAAAAAAAACGTTCAATTGTTAAAATAAAGCATTATATTTACAAAAAATATTCTCACATTTCATATTTTAACAAAACATTGCATTTTGGGGATGTATTTATTAGCTTCTGTATAAAAAAATTCAATTAGGATACATATCATGGTAAATGTTCTTTTATTTTATTTGTCTTAATCTGACAACATTGAAACATTTAGTAAGATGATAATTTTTTTTAAAACTATAACTACTAATCACAGGGTTACATGGATAAAGAAAAATTCATAGCTTGTCAAGGTAAGTGTAATGTTTCTTATCAATTGTTATGTCGTTAAGCGACACGACATGGCATAGTCTAAAAGAAAACGATTGAATACATATACCAAAGCTAATTATTAAGTATATATAAAAAACTTTTAAAAAAAACACTTCCAAAATGTCTTCGTGTTTGTATAACATCTTTATTTTCTCCAGGCTTTCCATCTTTAAATTCGAAAATTCCCGCTTATACACCAAATTTTTTATATAAAACTGAAAATCAAATTCAATTTTTTTTAAAATACACATGTGTAGGAGTTTTGAAACATTAATTACTTAAATATGAGGGAAAAATCATCTGATAAAGAAAGCTGTAATAGAAATCATTTCTTCATTTTAACTGTCACAACTCGAGTCACATTAATCACAGTCCTATCACTATTATTTTTACAAAAATTAAGTTTCAAAGAATGCTTAATTGAGGTCATGTTTCTGCAGGTCCCAATAAAGTTATCATCAATGACTTTGTTCGTTTGTTGTGGGAGCAAAAAGTAGACAAAGTTGTGATGCTGACAAACTTGATTGAGGAAGGACAGGTCAGTAAATATATATTTATACACTGGATTAATGACACATTCTACTGATTGGGATGTCATACTTAAGGTGAATTCATGTGGTACAAAAAATGAGTTTGCATTTTATAGTGTGTCATTGTTCTGAAAAAGAATGGCAAAAGTCTTTTGGGCCTTCCAATGGTGGAATGGGTGGAATGGGTTTTAAGAAAGTGTGACAGCTTGTGACCCGAAGATGGGGAAAATAAAGCTCATACGTAACATCACACATTCTTTTTTTAATCATAATTTTACAAACTAAAGTTGTCTATTGAGGGATGTATTCTGACGAAAGATGTCAATTTTATACATTTAATACTTAAATTGTGACATATGTTTTAGATTGAATTGTATCAAGTGGTCCAAGATTTGTGACAGATTGTGACAAAAAAAAAGGGGGGGGGGTTAAAATTGCAAAAAAATTGCTTGGAGGGATAATTTATGGACGGCCCGTATGTTACTAGTACAAAAGAGAAACTAGGCTACGATTCATTTGTTTAGTTCGGGAGCCCGGGTTATCGCTGTCCACCCTTAACCAACATTTTTTAAAAAATTATATTCTTTATCACTTCAAAATAAATATGTATATGTATGATAGAGATCGTGATGTGAAGGGCGTATTTGTCTATTGCAGTGGTACCCAAACTTTTAAGTTTGGCGGACCGGTTAACAAGTCTCGAAATTTTACCAGGGACCGGTGCATGATTTACTCTTATACTTTTATTTCTGTTTGACAATAAATATTTGTATTATGGGGACCGGCAGCGTTAGGCATGCCGGCCGGTGAAGGTCCACGGACGTCCATTTGGGGACCACTGGTCTATTGGATTAGGACGTAAATGATGTATTATTGGTTTAAAAAGTTTGAAATTTGGTGAGCCCGAACTCTTGGCAAAAGTATATTTTAGTAAGTTTCTAAACTTGTAACCGTTCTTTTCACTATTAGGGTGATTTATCAATTAAGTCATATAGCGAGTAAGACTTATAAAAGGGCATATCCTACTATTTTGCTTAGGGTATCTAGTGGCTCAATAAGAGCCAGTGTTTCCGATTTCGGCCATCAAATGGTATAAAATAAAGACTACAGTTTTCTGAGGAGCGTACATCGAAGATTCCTTTATTTCTCTCATCCATTCACTTATATACAGGTTAAATGTGAAAGATACTGGCCAGAAGAGGGAAAAATTGCGTTTGGCTACATAAAGGTCAGACTGGCGTCCACGCAAGTGTTTGCTGACTACACAATCAGGCAACTGGAGCTTATAAAGGTGGCTACTCAATTATAATATAACTTTATTTCTTATTTTTTCAGTGCCGTAGATAAAATTTAAAAATCATAAATGATATTCCTTTTTCATGTTCCTTTTAAGTTTCTGGAAATAAAAATTCTATTAAGAAAACACCTCTGCATTATTGATGCATAACTTGTATTATTGTAGCATAACTTGTATTATTGTAGCATAACTTGTATTATTGTAGCATAACTTGTATTATTGTACATTATTTCTACAATTCAAATATCATTTATTGTTTGATTTCGCCAACTATGATTACTTTAGAAAGATGAGCCCATCCATCACATGACACACTTCCACTTCACCTCCTGGCCAGATAAAGGAGTTCCACTAACACCATGGAGTCTTGTAGACTTTGAACAAAGAGTCGCAACTGGACCTACAACAAGTCCTGTAGTTGTACATTGCAGGTTAGATTACTGTGTAATAAATGTTACATGAGCAGGTTTTAACTGTATAAATACTATGCTATAAAAATACGTTTATATAATGTTAGATAAGTGTATAAATAATATGGTACTCATACCGGCTAGAGAACTGTGCAATAATATACTATTTATGTAGGTTAGTTGCTTGTATAATATATGTTACATAAGCTGTAGATGTATGTTGCTAAAACGTATTGATACAAATCAACATATTTAAAATAAAAGAACAACGTATATTAATTATGGATTATTTATACTAGTATTACTATTATTAGTGTTATTATTATTATTCGTTTCTTAGATAGAAAGCACAGAAAAGTTATCGTTTGATTTATACAGTAAATTACACAACTTTTAAAACATTTTTCTCAAAGCAAGTACATCTTGATATTAACTACCCGTTTTATTCATCAGGATTTAGCTTACGTCATGTTTCCAATTTCCTTAATCATGAACTTGATCGCATTCTTCCAGGGCACGAAGTCAAATTTATTGTAACTACCAAAGTCACTCCTTTTGTCTTTTAATTAATTCTTAGAATATGGTTTAAACTGAATTAAAAAACCCGTAAAAACAAAGGTTTTGTATAAAACCTTTATAAAGTATATTTTCTAGCAAGGGAGGTGGGGCTGAAACTGAGTTTATCCTAACTGGCCCAATTAATAAGGGCGATAGCAGTAATATGATTTTAGGCCGCAATCCGATAATTTTTCCACTGAGCCAGTCAGTAAGCCCGCCACAAACGACGGCGAAGTTAATAGTACAAACGATTTAAAGAAGAAAAAAAAACATTAAATATTTTTTTTTTTATTCCAGCGCTGGTGTTGGTCGCACTGGGACATTCATTGCCCTGTGTAATGTTATGAAAGAAGCAGAAGTCACAGGTCGAATCGACTTCTTTAAGACAGTTGTCAAATTGAGACAAGACAGAGTCATGATGATCCAAACCCCGGTAAATTGACTGAGCTTAATTTAACCTTTAGTGAACTCACCATGGAAAAAGCAAGTAATGAATTGTAAATAAAATCGTTCATTATAGGGAGAGAAACAATTAATTTATTTAAACAAGGCATTGAACAAAACGCATACTTTATGAATCATAATTAACTGTTTAACAAATATTGATAATATACACAGAAAAAATATTCTAGATTGATAACATCAACTAAGTCATTTATAATAAACATATTAAGTCGTTCTACCTTTAAATCATTTTATGATTCCTTTTAAATATTATGTTGTTATAAAAAAATCAAAGAAAATAAATTATTTTAAAACTTTTAATTTAACTGTTCAAAGCTTAGCATCCTCATGAAAGTAAATAGGCTTAAACTTGGTTATTCTACATGTATGCTTCACTATACTGTAGGCTCAGTACGAATTCTTACACAGATCAGCACAGGTAGCCATAGTTTGTATGGGAACAACAGTCACATCAAGAGATATTACAGAGAGGATTCGAATTTTGGAAGAGGAAGATTTCAAAGGACGCACGAAAATGGAGACAGAATTTCAGGTAACATCTGAAATCATAAAATAATTTAGGCTTGAATATACTTTCTGTGTTAAATTGTATGAAGTTTCTTCTCAGAAGTTAAAAGCAATCCTTCAATTCTAAAACTTCTGTAATCTAAAAAAAAAATATTGAGAAATCAAATTTTATTTATAATATTCAAAAAAAATAGGCCGTGTGCTTGGTGAGTGAGGATTTCACCAAACACATTAAAGATGTTGAGAACACAGACCAAGAAGCAAGTGTTTATGAAAACAATGTAAACAACTCTGCCATAGGAAAAAACAGATTTCTTGATATTTTACCAGGTATTTTCATTCAAAAGGCATAACTCAATTCTTTTAAAACGCACGTTTTTATTCCAATAAACATTTATAGTAGCGGTGTTCTTTTTCAGCCTTGAAATGGGTGCGCCCTTTGATGTATCTATTATCATATTATATTCCCATGTGCCCAAATATAACGCTAATAAGCTAATGGCATTTATTTATTTTGATTATTATTTTTAACTAGCGAGAACCCGGCATGCGTTGCAATGCCTCTCAAAGAAAGAAAGTGTTTGCATTTTAATTATGTCTCTTCAAGAGCTTTTAAATACATAACGTTTTTCTTTTTTTCCGTCTGGTACATACACGAATAAATCAGATGTTTTTCCGACGCGAGAGCAGGCCACATACATCTGTCCTTGGGAGTAGCATGGGTTTTACAATTTTAGTCCGCAAACTTGTAGCAATTGTCCCTGTGCTTTGTAGATAGTCATTGCAAACGCGTGTCGCACCGTAAAATGCAGACGTTTGAATTCAAATGGCATCATTGGGATGCGTGACAACAGTGTATCAGCTCCTTTAAATTTTCCATTTAAAATAGTAGCTTCAGCTTCAATGGTATTTTTCATTATGTTTTTCATTGAAAAGTGTTACCGTTGTAAAGTCGTGGCTGATTTTTGTTTCATTAAAGAATGATAGGCACGCCAATTTTCAATGTTAAAACGTGCGATGGAATGCCTGGCAAGTCAAGTGATTGGATAATTGACAACGTCGTCTTAATTCAATACAGTATCGATGGACTTAACGTTGTCGTTTCGCCTGGGATTTCACTTTGAATGCTTAAGTTGATTGCATTGTAATCGTTGTTTTTGGCTGAAAATATAGCACGTGCACTGAGCCACTGATGATTTTTGTAATACTGTGCGATATTTCGAAAAACTGTATGTGTGATTTTGTCGGTGGTAGCTGCAGTTTTACAGAAGCTTGTTGGCAGTGAAAAACATTGAGTGGATTCATCAATTGCCATTTCCACTTTCCCAATGTCCAACATATGTTTTGCGAAACGTTCAGCGGATGCATCATCATGTAGTTCTACACGCATAATCGTCTTCAAAGTCAATTTCTGTACATGCCGCCATAAAACTGATGATTTGAGACATGCATTTAATTCATCAGCAGCTGTTGAGGCCACCATCCAAAAGAGTTGCTGCAATTCCAGATGATGCGATAGCCAGTGCAATATTTTTTTGTGATCGTATTGTCACCAAAATAAGGGAAATTAGGAAAGATTTTCCTGTGCCTCCGAGCGCAGCTAGGAAATATAGTCCACCGATTTGATTGGTAATTGCATGCATAATTCTGTAATACAATATGAGTTGTTCTGGAACCAATTTCGGAAGATTCATCCAAACATATATACCCAATTCTTGGAAATCAAAATGCGTTTCTCGTTTCAAATCACGATTGAAAAGCTTGTTTGCAGAT